ACTTAGCAGTTTTTTCCATAGCTCCTCTACAGCAGTTTCCTTCTGAGGATACAAAGTGATTTGCAAACATTAATTAATTCTCATAAAGCCCTATGAGGCAGATAAGTGTTAAGTATCCCTGTGTTAGTACATATGAGAAACATGAGACCTGAGTGCCTTATGATCCATGCCGTTCTCTATATTCACTCCCAAAAAGGAATATGTGCCTTGGGACAGAGGAATTCCCCCTTTTTTGTCATTCTCTTGTTTTCCTTGGACCCTCTGGAGTCCTTCAAGGGTAGCAGGGATGAGGCTGGGATTCAGGCTGCAGCGTGTGAGATTCAAGCTCAGAAAAGATCAGAAAAGAGAGAGAGCCTTGCTGTATTTGCTGCTTGTTTTGTGGGGGGAAGCAAGGCCCTTCGTGCAACCTGTGGGTTACATGCTCCATGCACCGGCACCCGGTTTCAATGGTAGCCTGGGCTGCCAAAGCGGAAAACAGTCCCGAAAGCGGAGGCATCCTTGTGGACTGCCGAGAACGACAGAGCCAGATGGCAAGCAGAGGCAGAGGAATCACTTGAAGAAATAGCCCCAGCGGAATGTCACCTATCTCACTGAGGAAAACTGAAAGGATCTTAGCATCTTTCCTCCAGGTAGCTTCAGTGAGGTGAGGGCAAACAGAGCCTGAAGTGACTTTCCCAGTTTGTTCTTTAACCTTAAGAACAATTTACAGCGTGGCAACCAGTAACGCTGGACACAGAGTCTTGGCCTTATTGAGGGCAAATGGCAGCTTTACGGGAGAAATTAAAGTAGCTAAATTTTCATGCTAACAGCATAGGGTGAGAGACATTGTTCTCCAGGTTTCGAGACAGACTAGACATAAGATCATACGAACGCTTTTCTGAATGCATTCTGACAAACTTATCTGTGGTTGCATGCCTTCCCAGCCCTCGGTGCACAGCACATAAGATAATGTAACAATTATAATTATGATAGTGATCAGACCTACCAGGCCTTTTTAAGACAAAAAGTCAGACTAATTCTCTAGTTTCAAACACAATGAGTTCAAATATGTGATGTAAATGCTAAAAAAAAAATACTAAAATGAGAGGCGTGTTAGGTCTGTGCCAGCCAAACTTCTATTGTTATCTGAATAAGTCCATATTCTTCAGGCATTGTTTGTATTTCTATTGTGCCAGGAGATTTTGTTCTTTAGTTTGAAGATTCTCCCTGAATGGGGGAGGGAAACGTTGCTATCGCTGCGAAAAAGGAACATTTCTTTCTGACATATTAAGCATGAAGAGGATTATGTACAGGCAAGGCATATTGCAGTAGGAGATGTCCTTAATATAGCTTTGACCGTGAACCCATGACCCTCCAGAAAATTTAGGAGAGTTAAAAAACCTATTGCTTTGACAATCTTTTCATTAAAAAAAAAAAGTCTTCTTGTAAAAAGATAAAGGAATTCATCCACTGTTATTTACATAAAAGTCAACCTTTTCTGCTTAAAATCACGAATCATTTAATGTCACATCTGCAGGATATCTGAGGCAGATGCCATTAATCCAAGTCATTTCGCAAATTCCAATTTCATTTGGATTAAAACCTACAACTAAGTCAGGGAAGAGTATATACTGTACATGCGTTAAGGCTGGTGACTACTAAAGTCTCTTGCGGAGATAAACTAAGCACGGATTAGCCAGGTCTAAGTATATGTGCTCATCTAGGGAAAAAAAAGGATATCCTGACATTTCAGTGATGTAGATTTGAATCAGTAGCCATGAAAAATGGTTGAACATTTGTATTACAAAAGAGATACTATGGCACAGTCCCAAAGGTGCATTTCTTATAAATTAATTAGCTGCACAAATTATTTTGATAACAGTTACTGCACTTCTGAGGTGATATGGCTGCTCAGTGATGAGTATTTGATGATCAATGGTAGGCACTAGTAATATCTTTCATGCTGAGTGACTTTTATTACTATTTAGATTTACAGTATATACATATGTGTTTGTATCTACACTTAGGGCTTGCTCTTCTAACCTCCTTTGCCAGGGGTCCTCTGTTCACTAGAGCCTCTTCTTTTGGAGCCCTGTGACATTTGGATAAAAGAAACAGGCAAACAAGGGGTTAGGGTATCCTGCCATGCGACAGGGAGGACTATGCTTGGCTTTTGGCCACACTCTGCATATGCTTTGCTCTTACCTGTCATTCATGCCACCATGAAATACTACAAAGGATTAAGGCCAAGGGGTCTGTAGGATCTTGCTGTCTGTGAGGAACCTATAGGCTGCTCTGCATTTGTTGCACCCACCTGTAACGTGGTTCCTTTGAATGCATTCCCATTGCTCTACCAGCCCTGACCGATTCAGGAGCCTCTGTTTGTAAGCAAACCTCTCCCTCCAGGCATAACCCTTCTGGATTTATACAGAATGACTTCCTACTTTCACAAAGTGAACCTGAACATTGTTATGGCATGAAGAGGCCTGCATGCTCCTGGGCTTTTACAACAGCTTAAAACAAGTAAGCATCTTTCACGGAACCCTGAAGAGGAATGGTCTTCACTGGGTCCCATCCAGAACACACCTTCGACTCATGGTGAAGTGCCTCAGACTATTCAGGGTCTAGATGTGGAGCATATGCTTAACCAGATCAGACCTAAAAGCCACATGCGCTTTCCCAGACCAGGCCCTAAGCAAATGAAATGAAGTACTCATTGTCACCATGCCACATTTAGTCATCTAAACAGCAGCAACCATATACAGCAAATAGTCTGCACAGAGGAGTACTCCATCCTAAAGAACCTCACCAAAATAGTATAGCTGCAAGAAACCCTGTGGAGAGAAGGCCAAAACCTCCAATTCACTTACAAGTCTAGTTGGTTTAAATGGCTGCTATTTCATCCTGTTAACACCACCAGAAGTTAAGGCTCAGTGTGCTCATCAGACAACACAGACGATGCCAGCACAAAAACTAAAAACCAGTGTGTTTCTCCATGGAAGCAATGGGTATTTTAGCTGGAATAATTCAGTATAAGAACAATGTACAAGAAAGGACAATCATCTACAAGAGATCCTCAGTACTTGGAAATATTACAACAGGACAGCGTTAATTCTTGCATTTCTTTGAAGTTTTTTGACATATTACATCCATACAAAGAGTTCATCATGATTAAGAAAAATATCCCGATCTTAGTAAAATAAACATGCTTCAAAGTTCCTCCATACTTGAAACTCAAATGCCACATGTGCAATAAAACTAAACTCCATTTAAGGCAAGTAATATGTGTCACTTCCAACATTTCTCAACATTAAATAGCAGTAAGGGCTCCCACACCCCCAAACTTATCTGAAGATAAACACCATAGGCACCATCAAAGAAAACAGAAGCTAAGCTAATTGGAATTTCACTTTCCTGATCTGAGGAGAAACCCCACAGTACCTTCATATGGTGTTGAAGCAGCTGACAGAATCCATTCCTACTAGTCTAGTAAATCATGGCAGGCTTCCACAGCCAAAGATCAGACAAGTAATAAACAAAAAGGCACCGATCAAGTTCTCCATGATAGCTGTGACCAAACAAATTGTGGGGCGGGCAACAGACAGATTTAAGAGTGACGGGAGGACTCAGAGGATGTGTATTTTGTCATTTAAAGACAGGTCCGTATTCACTCTTAAAGCCAGACGCACTGTCACACTCAAGTCCGTGCTAACAGGTGACCACAGCCTGAGCTCAGGACTTCTTTTGAGGGGGAAGTATCTGAGCACCACACAAATATTGGCCCAGGATGGCTTGGGGCTGAGCAGTCCCTCGTAGCTACCCTGCTGAGCTGCTTCGAAGAATGGAGTGAAAGCTCCGAGTCAGAGCAATAGCTGGAGTTACGGTAAGCAGCCTGGACAGAAAAATGCAGGTACATGGGGCTCAGTTTGCTCTCAGGCCCGCTCTTTACCACAGGGTACGTACAGCCTGTGCTACCAAAGATGTTTTACTCAGAAAATGTGTCGTATTGTTTGGTATCTTTTTTTTTCAAAATGCAGCTCTTCAAAAATTGGGGAGGGAGAAGAAAGGCGGCAAGGACCAATCAATCAACCTTCGCTATCAGTGGCTACTTCTACTTGTATCTTTGATTGAAAGAGTCTTTTGTACTCACATTTCTTTAATACATAAGTAAATTAGATTAGACAACAACAATCAAAGGGTCCAATCAGTAATTTGGACAAGAAGAGTCCAGTGAAAGTCACTGGAGTCGCTGACTTGAGTAAAGGCTGCAAATCTGATTGAAAAAAAAAATATTTCCAATACAGAAAAAGAAAACTAAATGTGTGAAAACCACTGAAAACGAGCAAAAATGCACTGAATGCAAGCACAGTTGATACGAACTGGCCTTGACCTCAGATGACCCAAATTAAACTCCAATTATTGTGGGATTAATTCTTCTGGCATGAAAAACACAGCCTGTCAACAGGAACTGAAAACATCCCATAAATCAAGAAACGTTAATGCCTAGTTGCGGATTATGCATGGAGAGTGAGAGGATTACGATAGGAAACAGTTCTTAGCCTGATGAGCAGCAAACTCAGCTTCCCAGATAAAGGAAATTGCATGTAATGCTCTCATACAGCCTAGAAGAACCTGCTGCAAGCTTCTGCAAGATGAAAAAGATATGGAAGTCAAAATCTGTGGGATGAAGCCTTCCTATGCACAGCCAACAACTGTTATAAATATCTCTGTCTCTCTGTGTTTACGCAGCTGAAATTAACACATTTTCTTTACAAAGTGGATTGCAGTTTGCCATATTTTTTCATTATCTATTTACTGTCAGTAACAGAATGCAATTTTCCACCATCTCTTTTAAGTTCTTGCTATCAGCATATCTGCTTTCAGGCTTTTTGCTTGACACTGTAGGTTATACGCTTGGTGAGGAGCTGAACAAGAGGTAAAGTCATTTAAAAAGACAAGGAGATTACGAAATGCATGCAATTTGTTGAAACTTATTGCACATGAAGGAATGCCGTCTTTCTCCAACTTAATGCAGACTACTCAACTCCTCTGTGTGCCCTGCCCCAGTGGGGAAGTAACAGGGAGATGGCACATTAATATTGAAACCTCTGTGACGTGTCCATGCTCGCAGGAAAAGTTCTCCACGTCTATGATTTGTCCTCATTCATTCCAGTTCAGGAAAGCCCTTGTGTATGTGCTCTGCTGAAGTCAACAGGATTTCAGTACAAGCTTAAAGTCAAGAATCTGTCGAGAGCTTTCCTGAAGAGGGATCTGTGCTTATTGCACTTGGTTCAATCAACCCATGAGATTTTGGTTTTTGAGCTTTTCAGCACAAGAATAGAAAGGGTATGTTTTGTGCATTAAGATCTTTCTAGTATTTCTAGTGTATGAAAATGTTTGGAGAGTGGCACAGAACAATTCATTCTGAAGAGACATCATCATATATTGTACATACGCACACATACATGTCTACACTCAGAAAAATTTTGCTCAGTATTGAAGAAATATTCACCTTTGTTTGGATCAATGCTGTGGTCGACTATTTCTGTAGCACAGTGTCCAGAATAACTGAATTATCCATGAAAGGTATACTGTCCATGTGAATGGCACAGCCATTATGACAAGTGAGCGCTATTCCGCACCCAGTGAAGTCCTTGTTGAGTGTACTGAACTAAATGCTCCATACTGCTGTGCAAGGTGACAGGTCCCATCAGTGCATCCAAGTCGTTAAAAAAATCTGCAGGGAAAAAAAGGATTCAGCATCAGCAGAGTGAAGCTGTATTTGCTACTTGTCACCCTTTAACAGATTTTATTTTCTTGCAAATTGATTCAAGCTGAACATTTCATGGGAATGAAAGTTTAGTGCTGGTGAGATTAATTTTAAAGCCCTGTGGTTCATGATGTTACAGGCTGATGCACAACAATTTTCTTTTTAAAGAACAAAACAGTGAGTTCTTCAGCTTTGCTTTTCATTAATTTCCATTGAGTCTTGATAAAGCAAACAGATGCTGGGCAAGATTTATTTTGAGATTAAGGACAACTAAATCAAAAAGTCTACACACAAGTGTCTGTCTACACAGATGCCAGATATTTAAGCTACCATGACAGAGAAACAGAGGCCTATACAACATGGCCAACCCAGCCTAAAGAGTAATTTAGCTAGCTAGCCACTAGGGACTTAATTCAGTTGCCTACTTAGAGGCATGCAGTGCCCATTTGAGATGCTCTCAGAGAGTTCACACATATAGCCCGGAATGGCAAATCTAACAGGGGACGTACAGGAGAATTCTGGAGTGGCAGTGTAGGTAAGGATACTTCAAATGGCATTTGGCAGCTATGGTTGGGCAACTGAATCGTATCCCTGTCTCCCCTTCAGGGTGAACTGAACAGCTCTCTGAACTCTGCTGTTTGTATTGAACAAAGCTCCATTAACTGCAATGGGAGATTAGGCCCCCAACTCATGCATACACACACCTACACTTACGTGTCCTCATTTTGATTTGAACCCTGCCCGTGCCCCTGCCTTAAATACATAAATTGCCTGAAAACCATGGAATACTTTATTATTGAGTCAGATGCTGAGGCACTTGCTCATGGTTAAACCCGTTCAGCTGAGAGAAGTTTGCTCTGAAGAGGGAGCGAGACACCTCGTTCCCCTCCGTGTCTGCTCGGACGGGGAGAGGGCCAGGGGCTGTTCACTCCTTCTGCAGAAATGAATTGTGCTCCTGCTTTTTGACGTGGTCTGGCTAAACGCATCCCAGCCAGCTCCATGACTTTGGGGTCAGGAAGCTGCCTTGCCTCCCACAAACCTTCCTCTCCAGAATGACACAGATGGCAGTGAATGCTGCCCACAGCTATGTCTGTGACCTGGCTGTCACCAGTCCTGACCAGCCAAATAAAGGAAAAAATTAGATGCTTTTGAGCGAGACATCTATCAAAATTGCCTTGTTGGGCTGCTTTGGAACAGACTAGGAGCAGACTGAAGAAAAAAATCACCTCTGCAGTCCTACTTTGCAGACAGGATTCCTATGAAAATAGTTAATTTTCCTGATCTGAATCATGTGACAGTCTTCTAGAATCGCCCAGTGACTCGACTCACTCACCTCTGTTTTCCTTGGCCAGGTTGTCAGCCATCTCCCAGTAGTCATAGCTGTGCAGGATGCTGTTGGTGATGCTGACGTGGTTGGCAGCCATCTGATGAATGCGCTGTGGAATGCTGATGATAGGGGATGGGGAAGGGGCCCCTGTGCTCCCCTGGGATCCTACAGAGCTGACTGGAGAAGGGCTAGGAGACATGGGTGATGGAGTTCCTGTGCTCCTGAAATCAGATGTTAATACAGTTACTTAAAAGGTACTGGGATTAAAAACATCAAAGTATTAGAAGATACTGCAGGTGAGAAAATGTAATTTCTGGCTGCCAATCTGATGTAAGTTTCTGTGTGACTTACTTTCCACTGGCACCCCAAGGAGACGGGTTCTGGGCAGCTTTTGATGAATTCTGTAAAGGAAAAAAATTATTCACTATACATATAATTTATATAAGACTATGAAACGAAGAACATTAAACAGTCTAAAAGTAAAGAAATGTAAAGAAAAAAATTGCATAGGTACAAGTATTCAAGTCTCCTGACGCAATAAAGCCACTTCAGCCTAATTTGGTGTTGTGACGAAGCAGTGCTGCAGCACAGACTCAGATCACAGGCTATTCAACACCCTGGGATGGGGGTGATTAGGAAAACACACTAGTTGAAACTGAAACTTTTCACAGAAATCCTGGGAGTTCAGAATAAAGTGCTGCCAGGACTCTTTGTGAGGTTTAGGCTGGAATTTCTTGTGATAGAGAAAGCCAGAAGGATTTCTCCCTGTCCTCCTGCCCCCAAAGACAAATGTCATTCCCCTAGGACCTGTGAGACTGTGCAAGCCTGCTCAGCCTGGCTGACAGCAGGGGTGCGAATCTGAGGCTCCCTCAGCTCAAGTGGGTGTTTTAACCACCAGCTCAAGGATCTCTCTCACAATTGCTCCTCTTGGAGCTATTACCCTTGGTCTGAATACCGCCACATCATTCACGGGGCAAGAGAGACTGCCCTTGTTGACCGGTGGTTCTTCTAGCTGCAAGGCTCCCCAGAAGCCCCCAGAAGGGGACATTAAATCATTCAGTGTGATCTCTCGTATACCTGCAGTCATTAAGACTGTCACTGGTATACTGTGCTTAGGCTAAAGAATTTTGCTGCTTGATGACAGACTACCTTGTACAAGCACTGTGTTTAAAGAGCAGGAGAAATTCAGGTGTCCGTAATAACGGAAACTGGATAGCTAAAATGATTCCAGTACTTTATCTGCAAGAGCTGGTGGGAATTTACTGGCAGGTTCCCACCCATTTGACTTGTAGAAAAACTCCTCCCCTCTCCCAAATGTAGTGACGGATTTAATCCTGGGCCTGTGGGAAAAAAGGGTGTAAAAAACCAGAAGTCTACAAAACAAAAACTTTTCTGGTCCACCCCCTCCACAGCCTCATATTCAGCAATGGCCAGTTTCTAATTCTCTAGAGGAAAGTGACCTCCTTGCGCCGCCCCCTGAAACCACGCATCCAGATAACTGTGTGCTGGAGAACAGCTCTCCCTTCTTGACACCCACGAGAGACCAAGTGAAGTCCTGCAGCTCGCGACCTGTTTATGGATATTGTTTAAATGCAGGCTGCAGGTGTTGCAAGCTGCAGGTGCTACAAGCCTTAACAGCAGTACAAAAACTCTTGGTCTCTCATGGCTTAGGAAGGAAAAATGATAAACAAGGGGCTTCAAAGCTTTACGGATTTCAAGGTCAGGAGTAATCCCCCAGCACACTCAAACTGCAATTTCCCTTTTCCACCAATCATGGAACTTTCACCAGAAGTTAAATTACTTCTAAAATTTATTTTATTTGTTTTAAAAAGGATAGCTAGTCATATAGAAATTCGACAGCACTACTTATCCTCCTTGTTTTCCTGCCTCCTGTATCTAATTTTAACAGGCCTCACAGTTAGGAAAACGGATTCTGTTTCAGGGTTTTAAGACTGAATTTTCTTAACTTCGGTGCCAGCTTTTGGATTTTGTTGGTCCAGTGCCAGCAAAGCTGCATGTCACCTGGCATTACCAGCTCTGTTTCCATACGCACAATGATCCCGTCCTCCTCAACATGTTCAGCGCTAAGCTGAACGTGTCTCCTGAGCCTCTCTTCATAAAAGTTTGTTTTCTCAGCTTTGACTCAGTTTTGTGTCCTCTTGTGTTCCCACATCTTTCACGCGCACACCAACACTGGCTGTATTTTAGCAGTGATCACACCAGTGCTGTGTGTGCCCTGGCACTCTTCCTGCAGTTTGACACTGGGCCTTCTATACATCCCAGGTCAGTAGTATGAAAAATAAGCCTTAGAGTGTCCCACAGGTGATTCTTCCTTTAATGGGTTTTCTGGGTTTTTTTGGCAGGAGGGGCTAAGGTGTGAAAGATAAACAATGAAAAGTTCTTATTTACCATCCTAAATAGAACCAACCTGGGAATCCTGGCATTTGCTCCTCTTACAGAATAGTTTCTTTTTTTTTTTCTTTTCTGATCTTTCTCAGAACTACCGGCTTTCATCTTTCTAGTGTAATGGAAACTGAGTACATGTTATTTACTTACAGAGTTGGAAGCAAGAAAATATGAAAATCAAAGTGGAGTCACGGATACTTGCGTTGTAAATTTAACCAGCCTCTGCCTTACTGTACAACTTCCCACACCTTTATTCTCATGCTTTAGGTATATTACTCCAGCCTCTCTCAGTTCAGCATCAGAAAGGTGGGGGTAAGGATTCTAAAGGGTGGAATATTGTATCTTATACCACTTTGCTTACTGCTACCCATTCTCCTGGTGTCTTTATGCTCTCAAATGTGTCTGGCCCCTGAATATCTGTGGCTTCTTTTTATTTCTCTGCTGAATTATTTTTTTTTATAATGAAAAAAAAATACTTAAAAGGAGATTTAAATAATAATTTTTTCTTTTCTAAAAGAAAAGTGTGTCTAATTTTCCCTGCAAATGTGTGTGACAAGGTTTAAAATCTTCTTTGATTGATAATGTATGTGGAAGTTCTTAATGCAGTCAGCATTTCATGTCACTTGGTTTTGAAAGCTTTTAGATACCAAATATGAAATGAGTGGAGAATTGGCTTGTTTTCCACTGAAAATTATAGCAAATGGATTTTTTTTTCATTTTTACTTTCAAAGGTGAGAATACTTTCTAATGTGAAACTACGCTATCATTACATCAGCAGGAGCTCTGGAAAAAAACAAGCTCATCTTGGCTATAGCAGAGGATAAGTCCATTTTATGTTTTCTGTGAAACAGTTTCTGTCTGCTAGTAGGAGACATTTTACATGGTTGAGAGCCCGACCATCCTGTTCTTAATGCAGGTATCCTCTGAACTGGTAAAGAAAAATAAAGTACTGTAATAGGCACATATTTTTCCCCTGAAATCAAGTCATTGTTACACAAACATAATGTGTTGAATTATATATTTCTAAATTTTTGGAAGCAATTACAGTGACTTCAATTTCAGTTTGACAATAACGGATCTGTCAAATTCCCTCACTGTCTTCATGTGTTCAGAATCTGGTCATGTGCATTCATGCTTGTATTTGAATTTTTTCATTAAGAAATTGTTAAAGGATGGATGTTTTTCATTTCAAGGTACCTCCCTCTGCAAAAAAAAACCCAACAGATGAGCCCTGTGTTCAAAGTCAAATAGCTGTTCAGGTCCCCCAGAGCAGTTTGTCTTAAAGCACTTGTATGTTCATACTACTTTTTTTTTCAATTAGAAAGATAAAGGCTAATTTTGTGGTTGTAGATCGAACGTTGGATGGACTGACTGCTAGGTAAGCTCCACTTGAAAGGTTTTGTTCTTGAGATACTTTCCAGAGAAAGGTTGCCTGTCAAATAAAATATATTAAAATACTTTGAATGACTTCCAGCCTTACTCAGAATAACCAGGGTTTGGACCTGGCAGAGAGTGGAAACCAGAAGCAGTAGCAGGTGAAGCAAAGCAGGAAGGGGAAGCCAGCAGTGCCGTGTCACGTACATGGCAGGCCTTTTGGTTGCCCTCTGATGCTTTCGTACAGCTCTCACTGAAGTCCGCGTGGGCTGTTTGCCAGTTCCTTGGGTCAGAACAAGTCCCACTGCACTGTCCTACCTATGGATGCTGCTGAGTGGAAGCCTGCAGCTGAGGGCTTACCTAGATCAAAGTCTTCAACTCACAGGTAGTCTAGTGGGAAGTGTAATCCTTGAGGGGATTCTTAGAGCAAAATCTGCAAAAGTTATTTGCAACAGAGCTGCATAGCACTGGACAACTGACCAAGAATAATCAAATAATACCTGTTTGTTAGTACAATAAATTTCTCACCCTTCATGACGGGACACGGCGTGTATTTTGCAAAGAGGGGCCATTGCAAAGATAGCAGAACTGACTAGAGATCAGGTGTTGCCTGTTCTGTGGTAAAACTCTACTGGCTTCACAGGGGAAGAACTCAGCCCAGCGCAGCTACTGTTTTAGTAAGATGCTATGATGATCATTAAAGACTCCTATAATGACACACTGATGTGAAAACATGTCATAAAGAATGCACCTTGAAATACTCAATAAGCGCTTTCGAGTACTTGACCGCGTGGTCTCTCTTGAGTCGGAACATCCTCCAGTACAGAAGGGCCAGACAGCGGTAACTAGAACAAAAGGGAGAGTAGAAGGTAAAGTGTGCCCCCTGAACAGAAATCCCAATCAATTATCTTAAATTCTCAAACTAACACAGAGTGGAAGGCTGAGAGCACCTTGCTTACAGTTTTTATCACCATTTGCTTACAGTACTTCACACTTTTGGCACAGATTCATGAGCAAGGCTAGGTATTACAGCCAGGACAGGCCACACTGACAAACGCTACCGTGAGGTACTAAACGAACTACACTCAGAAGGGTTTGCAGGTTTGGGTTCTCTGGCCTTGACTCTGACTTGAAGTCTGCATACTTCACCAAAGGCCTCTCCTGTGAAAAGATCATTACAGGCCTGGAACCCAACATATGCGTTTTTTAAAATTTCTTTTTGTAAATGCAAAGGCAGCTTTATAGGGGTATCTTATCCTGGGACTTTATTACAGCAGCCTGGAGCCTGTGTAACGAACTAGGGTTATAATGGGTGTATTTTGTGTACACCCAGTGGTCTCTTCCAGCAGCTGGAGATAGCTGGGAAACAGGGGAACCTCAGACCTGCCCAGATTTCGCTGGCCAGGCTCTGCTGTGGGAAACCAGAGCAGAGATTGTGCTGGAGCCTGGAGGTCATTCCTAGGCCACCTGCCGGATTTGTTCCCCAGACGAGACCAGCAGCGGGCTGAAAAACCCAACGCGCTGTACCGGAACTCTCTGCCCCCGTGCCCCTCGTTAGTCTGCAGAGTGCCACGCACCTTTATGCTGTGTAATTAAATGAGAGTACTAGCTATTGACTATAATTACACACCACAATAACTGATAACCAGCAGTCAGGACACACAAACTCTTTTCTTTGCTATTGGCTTTAGGTGTCCCAGCCTGCTTTCTGAATCGAGAATCGCCACCCCCTCTCCCCAGAAAGCTTTTTGATGAGCAAGCGTGGGCTTGCCCCCCCAGTAACGCAGCTTTCGAAGCAAAAAACCCGCTGTGTTTTGCTTTCCCTCTGGCAGCAGAGGCCTGAGTTTTCGGAGCCGTGTTTAGTCTCGGAGCCACCCCGAAGCACCAGAAGGTGCCTTGAGTTGGGAGCCTCCGAGGGCTGCCCAAACCTC